ATAACCCAAGACTACTGCCTAATTGTCAAGAGTTTTCTTAAGAGTCTGGACATAAAAAGGCAGTGAGTCCCAGAGGCTGTTGCTGCTTTGCCTGTGTGACTCTGGAATCACAAGACAACTGCTCCCAGAGACACTGTTCTGCTGAACAGAATTACACATCACAATTCCCATGCTGTTCTATCTCTTAGTAGACAGAAGGCAACATAGTTTTCTTTTTATTCCTCTTCTGCCATCACTGCTCTTAGTATCTAGACAGATTTGTCAGGAATAATGAGATGAAACCTCCTTCCAACAACAAAATACTGCGTCTTACTTTCCTGTAACCTGCTTAACTGTTTATCCCTTCTAAGAGTCGGTACAGACAAAACAGTCTCCTGAGTTTTTAAATGACATTTTGTTTGAAGTGAAGATCCCAGCTGAGCCATTTCTATAGTATCATGAAGATCTGGAGATGATAGTAAAGCTCTGAAAATAATTTACAGTGGCAGTGGGAAGTCAGGAAAGCAAACTGGGCAGACTTTGTTCATACACCATTGCAAAAGCCTCAGCATGCAACTTAGGTAAATGAAGTCTTCTAACAGTCGCTGCTTGCTGCATTACGTATTGCTCAGGTAGTAAAATGTCCAGAATGATGAGTACAACATTCACATAAATCAGACAGCAGTAACACCAGATGCAACATCAGGGCTTGCTTGAAAGGAGGAAGAAGTACAGGAATAAACTCTGCAAGGAACATTTCCTCTATAAGACCATTAACATGATAACTACTTTAGGGTACCACAGCACAGATGGGAGAACTAGAGCAGGAAGTACAACATGTACTCGCACAAATGTGGTTCATTATATTTACACACATGGGCTTGCCAGATCAACCAAACCTTACTCCTTGAGCACAGCTCATACATCTGGTTCGCGTGACTTCTTAATCACAGCATCATACATTTGCCTTGTAGCATCACTGTCTCTGTTTTACTAAAGAACTCCACGTGTGAATAGAGTCACCACCCATCACATCTGGTGTGTGTGCCCAAAGAGGCAAGAGCACTGGTCCTGCTCCTGCAGAGCAACCAGGGGCTTGTCACATGTTGGGGTCCTTGTACTCAAAGGCAATTTGCTAGCAACACATCATCCAGTTGCAGCCTAGTGTTATCAGCCCCTCCACAGCAAGTGGCTCCAGGTGCCTAGGCAAAGGATCCACCGCTACACCCTGCAACGCCTCCACCCCGTGATAGGATGCTGCAGACCCTCCTTCCACTCTTGAGACAAAAGCAGTTTCAAGTCATTCCAAAGGTCTGTCTACATCATTTACTGTAGCCCATCCCAACAATTGGCCTACTCTCATTAGAAAAGTTAAAGGCATGCAAAATGAAGTCCTGCTTGAATATATTTAAGTCTGAAAAGTTATGTCCCCAGCCCCTAGCAGAAATCTGTAGCTTAATAAATAAATAGTAAAATTAAAAAGGGATGTTCAAAAAGATTCCTACTTTCCTAAGCATTTTAAAAACCTCTGGGCAAATATTTCTCTCTCACATTCCTTTCAAACTCACTTACCCAGGTGTTTAGAACAGCTTGAGCTGCCAATTTACAAACTTACTGCTGCTCTGCACACAAAGTAGGGTTTTGGGAAAAATATATGCATATAGCCACATGGACAATTAACAGCTTGCAGTTGGTACTAATTGCTACTCCCCTGAGACTTTGCACTGCATCCATTCAGAACCATCAACTATTGTTATTTCATCACAAGCTGCAGTGGTTTTAATTACATGAAAATCTGAGTTTTCATCACAAGAAACACCGAACTTCTAGTAAACTACTCCAGAAAATCTTAAAAATATGGTTGAGACATCTAGGAAGTTTTGAAGTTCAGAATGTAGTTAGGAAGAAAACAAGATAAATGTTTCTTAAACCATGATTACTGTTTTGAGGGGGCATAAACCCTGATTTTTCAATACTGTGGACTGGGACAACTCACTGCTGTTTTGTCTGACTGCCATGACTGTGATTCCAGCCATTTTTAGGGCTGTGCAAACAGAACTTGTGTCATTGCTTCAAAGTAGGTTGGTAACTGTAATTCCTGTTTTACAGACAAGGAAATTAGAGCAGGGGATGATAATGACTTTGCAAAGACAAAAAAGTCAGGAAAATAAAAAGACAAATTCAGAACCTGGCTTCATGCTACTCTCAACGTTTACACTCTACTAAATTTTGTTCCCTCTCAAAATGAGAAGGGTTGGTAGCACTTCCTAACGTGTCGCTAGTGAGGCCCAGACATCTCTCCGAAAAACAGATGAGCAAAAGCCGATTTTCTCTCAAGCTGTATTAGGCAGCAAAGAAACGTTACACGTAGATTTTTCTTAACTGTTCATTCACGTTTAGTGGGCACTTCAGATTACACTTCTCTTATGTGTTGTGTTTTAACCTGGCAGGCAGCTAAAATGACCACACAGCCATTCGCTCACTCCCCCCACAGTGGGATGGGGGAGAGGATCGAAAAAAGTAAAACTTGTGGGTTGAGATAAAAACAGTTTAATAGGACAGAAAAGGAAGATAATAATAATAATGAGGATAAAAGTACATACAAAAAAAGTAATGCTCACCACCCCCTGACTGATGCCCAGTTGGTTCATGAGCTGCAGCCCGCCCCGGCCAACTCCCCCCAGCTTATATACTGAGCATGACGTCATATGGTACGGAATACCCCTTTTGCCAGTTTGGGTCAGCTGTTCTGGCTGTGTCCCCTCCCAGCTTCTTGTGTACCTCCTGCGGAAGGCTCACGCCTCCTCGATGGCAGGGCCTGGGAAGCTGAAAAGTCCTTCACTTGATTGTAAACAAGGCTTAGCAACAACTAAAACATCAGCGTGTTATCAACCTTGTTTGCACACTAACTCCAAAACACAGCACTACACCAGCTACTAGGAAGAAAATTAACTCTATCCCACCCAAAACCAGGACATTATGGCAACTGCAATCAAAGTTTTGTAATAAGGTATGTACCTCTCAAAAATTGAGGGTGAGTTCAGTCACAAAGCATGTCTTCCTTTGAAATACTCAGAAACAGCTCTTAAAAGGAAATATTGATATTTGCAAAGCTCGGTAAATTAGTCAGAAATCAATGTTAGCCTATAAAACACTAACATTCTCTTGGATATTAACCACCATATATGGATGAATTACTTCCATTAATTTTTATCTAAAAAACAGACTTTTGCTCCAATTTTAATGTATTTTTTATCTCATGCAAAAATAGCAAGACTTTTTAAAAAGTGTCTAAAAAAAAAGATAAAATATTTCCATTTTCTTTTCCACTTACATAATTAATATGATCTACTTATGCTTTCTTGTTACTGCAATGTCATTTTTTTGCCACTAGGGGATCCCAAGACCACAAACCCAAACTGAAGCCACAACACACAGTGATTCCCATGGAATTAATAGCAGAAGCAACAACACTAATAACACTAAATGCTGAGCCAACGTCCTTGGTAAAGTCCCTAATACTGGCCACTAAACCTGAATCTTCCTAAGTCAATGGTGGTGTAGGGTGCCCTCCTCCACATCCTTACAAAGCTCGACTTAAAACAACTGCTATGCACTTCCCATCTCAAAATGGCATCGACCATCTGATGAAGTATTTCAAGGAACACATCCAATATTCACAATTGACTGAATATTTAGATCAAAGTAGAGCAGAAAGTATGCAGGAAGAAAGTGGCCAAGAAGTGCTGGGAAAATGAAGATTCAGTAGTACTGCAAAACACAGATAAGTAAATGCGCTGAGACAGTGAGAAGAAAGAGGAAATGTCATAACTGTGGGGCAACAGAAATGGAGAAGGTTAAAAACCGAGATGGAAAGGAAGAGGCAAACAAAAGCAGACAAAGCATTTTTTCATGCTTCCTAAAATGCCATCCTAAAAAGGCATCAACCAGGCAAAGGAACGTGTAGTTCACAAGCTAGACACTTAATAATCAAGCCATATTTATCCTCTGATTTCCTTCTTTCACCTATTTCAATCCTACCTGCTCCTTTGTCTCAGATTTCTACCATCCAACTTACCCACACTCTTGCTACCCTTAAAGCTCAATGACTCCACCAAAGTGCCTATCATTGACTTTCAGTGCTGATTTCCTGTCACCTCTCCAGCCCCTGGCTATGTGCTGTATTGTTTTCTAAGTATCTGAGCTGTGCTGAAAGGCTCCAAGTACTCTGCATTTGCACAAGACATGAAGACCCTGAAGCTCTCTGTAGCTGGATCTTCCAGGTGTAGGTAGGCAGGTCCTGGGCAGATGGCTCTTTCTTCTAAGTCACACTATCAGTTACCCAGAAGAGTAATCCCACCAAACGGACATACACTTGCAGTAGTTTTATAGCAGAACTGATTCCTGATAACATAAGAATCAGGCACTCAGTCTTCCAGTAGATTCAAAATACCCCCATTCTCCTCACCCTTCTGCGTCCTCTGATTTACCGGCTTAATAATAGAAAAGCTGTTGTTTCTAACACTTTAGAAAATGTTATTTTTCTTCTGCTCCTGGTCCTGTATTTTTCACACTGACTACTTTAGGTACTCAAATATGACTCCAGCTGTACATTCTCTCTGTAATCAATGGGCATAGACAGTTCCTTCCAATGGTAAGTCACAGCATTCAAGTTAGATGCTTGAAGTCAGTGTGAATACCTATCTGCGTATTGTGTCTACGTTTAGGCAAGCAATTTTGTTACGGTCGGCCTTCCAATGTACCATAAGGTAAGGAAATACCACAGTTTTTCTTTTATTAATTATCTAGAGATAGACAAAGCAGGTAAGATTTTTTTCATGCGTATGATTTCTGAACATCAAGGCGTAAAGGGGGTGAGATATCAGATGGAAAACACCCACAACTCCTCTTAAACCACAAGAAGTGTAGGTACTTGGCAACTTTCACGTAAATAACAGCATCATAATAGCAATTTATCTTCTTCTGCACATGGAACAAAAGAAACACAAATGAAAAATTACCTGAGCACCGTAGACTCGTTGCATTGCTTGAAGCAACTGGTTTGTATATTCAGTAAGGGTTCCTGCATCTTCTTCAAATACACTGAGCAAAGACCGAGTCTTCAATGAAAGAAAAAAAGCGAACTGGTTTAGTCCCAAGTAAAAATATTAAAAAGAATCATAAACAACTCTAAATAAATGGTAGCAAAAAATACAAATCAATCAGAAATAATAAGCCTTGAACTTTGCATTATTCTGTTTATTCAGAATCTAAAAACATGTAGAAATTAGTCCTTCTATTATGGATAGGTAAACTGAGGCATAAGGAAGTGAAGTGATAAAATGCTGTGGCCAAATTCCGAGTCCCAGTCTCTTGCTGTAACTAACAGACATTCCTTCCAAGGTAATCAGGAATGTAAAAAATCCTGAATATCTGCCTGCTGACTATAGTAATCCAAAGCACATTAAGGACTCTCTGTCAAACACCACTGCTTGCTCACTTTACTTCTCTAACGTCAGACTGCACTAAAAGCACCCCTTTCCGTGAGATAATTTACAGAGTATTATTCACTCTCAGTTGTCTTGAGCAACTCTTAAAGGGCCACTGCCAAAGCTAGATGACATAATCAAACATAATCAGACCAAACAACTGAGTGTTCATCCATAACAACAGGCACAGAAGTATACACCCACTCAGAGATACCCTGTACTTTCTCCATTCTGCTAGCTCATCCTTGTCAGCAAATGGGAGGAAAAAAGAGCATAATGACTTATGTTATCTTAAAGACATGAATTCCGTTGGTTTGTTTTGGTGGAATCATCAGGAACAAAGAATTATGTTGCGACACAGCTCCTGAGATGGGAAACAAAGATATCTCAGAATAATGCTGAGCTCCAGAATTTGCTAGATCAAGACAATAATGAAAGAGAGAAGGCTGTCCCTTTAACAAAGTTGTGATCCATCCTTAGTCTTAACTTTACTAAATCAAATCTATTTGATGCTAACTGGCAATGTCTTTCCATCTGTACAGCTACCTAATTTATATGACATAAACTACTTTCATCTGCTAATGTGAGGGGCACACATAAACTCCAGTACTTTAATAATGATGTCAGTCCTGTAACAGAGCAAGTGCTTTATCTATCCTCCTATTACAGGACTCTCTAATGTACCCGAAGTATCCAGGTTCGAATCTGGGAAATTTATTTCAAAGATTTAAGATAGATTTAAGTTGCTCCACTATTTTAACAGAAGGCACATGTACTTCCTCCTAGCAGTTATTCTTCTCTGCAAAACTCTCTGCCTAGATTTTACGGTTGCCTTGAAAAACTCGGGATCAGCATCCTTCAAGAACCCTGGCCTAAGATTAACTGTCATTTCATCTCTGCCGAGAATATCTAAGCCAGAAATTAGTGTTGCTCAGCAATTAAAGTACATGACTTGGGAGTCAGTCCATGGGTTCCATTCTACACATTGCAAGGGAGTACTTCCATACTTTCAATAACTCTAAAGATCTCAACATTTCAGTCTAACGCGCTAAGCTGCTACAATACTTCCTACCTTAGAGACACTGGCAGTCAATGCATTTGGGAAACTAGTTTGAGATCTTAGCATGTAAGGAGATACGCAACACAAAGTACTGTTTTCAAATAAAGAGAACATAAAAACCAAAAAATGCAGAGAAGGCCAAGTCAATGAAGTGGATACCAGGAACTCAAACTTATAAAAGACCTTTGTGCAGAACCTCCCTACAAGGACAGTGGCATGATTTTGAAAGTTTTCCACACTAAGCTATTATTTCAGTAATTGAAAACATACTGCTTTTCAAAATATCTGTTTTAAATGTTTTATCTTGAATGATGCATTAAAACAAGTAAAACTAATGCCAACAAATTATCTCCTATCTCCACAGTGCTCATTTTCCCTGTGTTGGGTTATAACGGCACATGAAATGCAGAGGGTATGAAGATGATTAAAAAATAAATATGGGGAAGGTAAAAATGATAAAATTTGACACAATGTTTATCAACACAAATCTCAAGCCAAGATCTAAAAATTAAAAAGAAATTGCCTGAAGTAGGCTACAAATCACACGTTTCTGCATGCTGGAAAAGGTTTCCAAACACACTAATGTCAGCCAGATTCCTAAATCTTACTGAATTTTTGCAGATTCAGTGTTTCAGATGTCTAAATATGGACTGAAGTAGAACAGCTCTGGGAAATAATTTCTGAAAGTCTTGGCCTCAGTTATTAGCACATTGTTCAAAAATAATAAAAACAATAAATGATTCAAGCAGTTTGGAAGTTATTCTTGGAAACATTTATATTTAAGAACACCATTTTAAATCACTGCAACAAAATACCAGCATGCGTATATTTTTGTTGTTGCTGTTTTGACAAATTCTGGAATAGCAGCTAATGCTGCTGAAATAAACCAGTAATCCAAATATTCAGCTAACATTTAGGAGGCCTCATTAATAGCACCATTATCTCAGCTTCTGGAAACACAGGAAAAAAAAGTCTACTTTCATGTAAGTATTTTCCTTGGCTTTAGCATGACTGCTTACGTAAATTTCTCTCCTATTTTATGGCCAAACACTTCAAAATTAAGACAATTATTGCGGCCTTTTTCAGCCAGTGCTTGCAGACAAATCAAGACAAAAGTACTATATTGCTGGAGAGAGAGAAATCAAGTCTCAGAAAACTGATGAAGAAATAACTTTGGCCTAATTCTCTTCTGTCTGGCTTGTAATTTACATACTTCATGTAGTTTATACAAAGTGAGGTTATATCCTCATTTTACCATCTCTCTGCATTGCTGTAAGTGACTGCACCAGGCAGAAAAGAATAAAGTCACTTTATGCAGAAGTGAATGATCACATAAGCTGCCATGTTCTAAGTTCTGTGGGTCAGAGACTGCCTTTTTCCTTTGATTTTGTAGCATCCAGCTCACAGAGGTCCCCTGTTGTGCTGTGAATCTGAAGATCTCCCTAAGAAAAAAGTAATAAAAATATAAAAGACTAGGAAAAAAAAATCTGCTTCCTTGCATGAAAAAATAGATTTTAGCAACACTGGGCCATTATAAAAAAATAAACAATGCCCCTCCCTCTCAAAGTTATAGGACTTGAACAAAAAGTAATGACCAAATCAAGCCAAAACATCCTGCAAATACTCAGGTTTTCGCACAGCCTGGTATTTCCAGTAATTGCAAAGGAGATGTTAACAACCCTCATTTCAGGTCAGAAGAAAGATGAAGACCTCCAAATTCAATTCAGTGCATTGTTCAGCTGCTTTCAGTCAGTGTTACATTTTTAATCATTGAAGGAGGTGTTGACGGAAGAGGTAAATGAGTTCACTTACGCTGCGTGTCAGGTTCTTCAGCTCCAGAATGCACCAGAGATGTTAATACCAAAAATGTTAAAACCCACTCATAATAAATCTAGCACATTTTGGTAAACTGTGGAACACAGAACAGGTCAGGCTGGCAAAGAACTCTGCAGGTCACCTTGTCCAAAGCCCTGCTCAAAGCAGGGCTGACTCTGACGTTATATCAGATTACTCAACACTTTTTCCAGTCTAGCTTTGAAAATCTCCAAGGAAGAAGATTCCACATACACCATATTAAACAGATGATGAAAATCATTCTTACTAGGATTGGATTTCATGGAATTATATAAAAACAGGATAAGAAGAGGTGATCAAGATGAGCCCTAAGACTCATTGAGTCCTGACAGGTGCACGTCCAATCTTTCCTTCAAAATGTCTCTTGACAGACTCCGTAACACCTTTCAGCAATCTGCTCCACAGCTTACCTATTCATTCCTCCTCCTGATCCATCAGGCAGCGAGTTAGGATTACAACAAAGGGCTACCTGGGAGCAGGATCCATGCTGATCCACCCTGCCCTCCCTTCTTACCTGCTTCAGCAATTACTTTTGTATCTCTGCGCTACACTTTGCCCTCAAGTGCACCTTCCCCACCCCTCTGTGAAATTTCCACTATTTCCCCTTCCCCTTACTTCTCGCTTCCACCCAAATTTCCCTCCTTCCATCCTCCTTTCCCAGCTCTCAAGGCCTCACACCTCTGTGTTGCCTGAAAACATCACAACATGGCATGTTCTTCACTGTGGGGTTTCCACGGTCATCAGGGGTCATTTCTGCAGCAATGCTGTATCATGGCTTCCAGCAGTGGGGCACAGGGCGCTACACTAGGCTGGGCGTAGCACAGAGGTGAGGGCAGAAACGTACTCCCCTGCCTGCAGGGGTTTGGAAGAAAATGGCGGCAACCACCTGTCCTCGTTTCTCAGACTCCTTCAGAAGGAGGTCACCTTTGGTGGGATCTACCTCGCCTTGTCTATCCCCACAGGAACACCCTGTATCTGAACTACCGCCCTTGGGACCCGAGTGGGAAGGAGCAGCACACTGGCGGTGACATTCCTTCAGCCCACTTTTGTCACCAGGGCCAGGTGACTTACAGAGCAGAAGTCTCCCTTTCCCACAGGGACCTCGGAGGAAGACAGGGCATGGAGCCACGTGCACCTATCCCTCCCCAACACACCTCACCCCTTCGGGGCAACCCTCATAGTCAGCCAGCGCACCCCCAGATGGGCCAGCATGAGGAAAAAACAAAGGAGGGGTCACTCTGAGGGAGGTGAGGAGCAAGCGTGCAGTGCCCTGACCTCCTCACACCCTGCCCGTCCGCGCTGGGGTGCGGGCCTCTTCCCCGGAGGTCCCTAGGAGTAGACACGGCTTGTTTTTCACTGACATAAGCCCAGTAGGAGACCAAAGCCTTCCCCCGGTGCCACACGGGTATCGTTTACCTACTTCACAGCATCCCCGTGTCCCGACGGCTCCGACAGGCGAAGTCACCCTGACCCACTTCTCCGTCCGTCGGGA